AACAAAGGTGGGGTCTCAGACCACACTGGGGGACTATAGACCCCCACCAATGCTTCTCTCAAAGGTTGCTTTCTTTACCCAGAAAGGCTACCCAGTTTCTTTCTTACACTGGAATGTTCCCAGAGAGAATGTCTCTTCCTGCCACAAGTGTTTTTCCTCCAAGTGTTCAGAGACAAGATGTTTTTCGCCAGAGTGATCCTGCAGCAAGTAAAAGGTTCCCAGAGAGACTATCTCCTGCCACAAGTGTTTTTTCCTCCAAGTGTTCAGAGACTAGATGTTTTTTGCCAGAGTGTGATCCTGCAGTAAGTAGAATGTTCCCAGAGAGACTATCTCCTGCCAGAAGTATCTTTTCCTCCAAGTGTTCAGAGACTAGATGTTTTTCACCAGAGAGTGATCCTGCAGTAAGTAGAATGTTCCCAGAGAGACTATCTCCTGCCAGAAGTATCTTTTCCTCTGTGTACTGTTTTAGTGGTGTTGACTGCTTTTCCTTCCTAAAACAAAAAATACCATTTGTCACATGGCATGGCTCTCAGAGAGGAGAAGAGGGAGAGGGGGCGATACATGGATACCATGAAGTAAGATACAGTAAACATCAGTAAAAAGTTTTAAATGAGGTCAAGAATCTACAGAGTATTCATGGAGAGGTGGGAAGGAGTAAAGAAAGGGGTTCTGGACGTGCAGAGTGATTCCTTCCACCTCTTCAGCCTCAGGATTAGGAATTGGCTTGAGATCTCCAATGCTGAGAGAGGAGATTTTGGCTGCTCTGCCTGTTTATCTGCCCGTCTGGTATCTGTGTCTGTCTTCTGTCCACCCACAGTTGGGTACCATGTGTCTTTTTTTCGGTCCATGTGTTGTCTGTCTTCTTCTTTGTGTGGCCATGTCCAGCTTCCACACGTCTGTCACCTGCTTGTTCTTCCTCTCAGTTCTGGCCAGGCCATCATGTGACTCATCCCGACACTGGCCAGATCCTCTTCCTGCTCTTGCTTCTCTGTCCCAGGCCTCCCATGTGTCCTTGAACCATCTCCTGGCCCCTCCCTTCACAGGACTGTGATCCTCTTGCTGCCTCCCTCCCTCTCTTGTAGCCGGAGGTGTGGGCAAATTCACATTGCTTCAAAATCCTTTTACTTGGAGGTTTCCCCAAGAGTCCACTTGCTCAAAACAAGAACTGTCTGTAGTTGATGGAAAAAAAAAACAGATGGCATAAGTGGAAAGCTGTTTGGCAGGAATTTGATAAGAGATCAACACCTCACATAACAGATCAAATTAAACTATAAGGGAATACATGAATTACGTATGATAATTAAAAAAATAAAGTGATAAGTAATGAAAATTACAAATGAGAGAAATCTATAAGAGATGGAATTATAATCATTCATATTTACTCTAGCTTAGACCTATAACTCAATTTATTCATTCTGTAGCTATAGATGAAGCTCCCCCTATGTGCTGGGCACAGAGAAAGACAGGTGGCCTAATTAAGCAACCAAAAAGTATTTCTTAAGTACCTCCTGCATAACAGGTACACTGCTAGGTTCTGGAGACGCAGACACTATTAAGGACACAGTCCTGATGAGGAATGCCCTTGACAACACCTTGTATCCAGAGCCCCTAACTGACCAATCAGCCTCCAGTCCCTAACTAATAACTGACCACAATAGCACACAGTACCTACCATTGCTTACCCTGAAGTAACCTTAGAACTAATTAACATGCCAACTCTCTCAGTCAATCCTGGGTACCCTTGCCCTATAAAAGAACCACGTTCACCCTGGCTAGGGCTGCTCCTGTCTCCCTTAAGGAGAAAAGCCTGTTGCTGGGTGTGTTAAACTCTAATATATGCCCTTGCTAGACTGGGAGACGGCCTGAGAGAATACTTTCCACATGACACCTCAACACATGCCTTGCCCCTCTACAGTCCCTAACCACTAGAAGCTTACATTCTAATGAGACCGAAAATAAATAAAAGTATATGGGAAATAAATGCAAATAAAGGAAAAGTACAAGGTAGTCTGGGAGCCAGGCCACTAGCAGCTGGAAACAAGGAAGGCTTCATGGAATAGACCGTGCTTGAACTCTGTCTGGATGGAAGTGACGGATTCTCTGAGGCCTAAGGATAGAGGGCCAGCTTCAGAATCAGGAAGCCTCAGAGTTCAAGTCCTGCTTTGGACCCAAGCTAGCAGCATGACCACAGTAAACTCATCTAACCTCTTAGTGACCCAGACAACTCTGTAAGGTCACAGACACATTCAGATGGGCTGTCAATCTTCCTGAGCAGGTAGAAAGAGGAAAGAGTGCTCGACTGGGTATGCTGTGACTTGGCCTTGCCCAAGGTCACATAACTAGTAAATGCCTGAGGCTGCATTTGAATACAGATCTTCCTAACTCCAGGCCCAGTACTCTGACCACTGGACCACCTAGATGGAGGGATTCAGAGATTCCAGAAGACTGTTGCCAACCCATGCTCAGGAGGCTGACTTGAGGCCAGGGAAGGATAAGAAAAGAGCTCCTTCTCAGTGCACTGAAGTTCTACAAGTCCTTTCTAAATTCACCACCTACTCTGGGGAAAAGCTCTAGTTGTCCCACCTGAGTTAGGAACTCCTCAAGTAGCTTTCTGTATGATGGGTACAAGGGTCTGGGAGTGGTACCACAGAGAATATAAACTATCTTGAATGTATGCAGCAGCAAGAGAAACTTCAACTATCCCAAGGGAAAACCTGGAAGCTGTTTGGACATTCCATTGCCTATACAGACTTCTGGGTCACAGTTCAAGGGCAGAGAGGACAACTTTCTGGCAAGAGGAAACAGGGACCCTGAGGAGCAGGATCATTTTCAGTCACAAGGGATCAGGGATCCTGAGGAACAGTATCACTAGCAGTCCAAAGGAACAGGGCCCTGAGGGGCAGTATCACTTCTGGTCAAAAGGGAGCAGGAACCCTGAGGAGCAGGATCCATTAGAGTCCCAAGGGATCAGGGGTTCTTCCTGGGTAAGGCTCAGAGCACAGACCAGGAAAGCAGTGACCAAACCTCTCCCCAAATGCATCACTTTGGAACCACCAAAAACTTTCAGACCCCCAGAGCTAGCTCTGCAAACAGCAGTGTGAAAGCCCTGAAGTTGCAGACAATCACTCCCCTCGCCCTTTCACAGACACTTGGGCTTTAGCTGAAGTATAAAATGCAATGGTAGCAATCATGATCTCAGACAAGCCAAAAGCTGAAATAGTCCTAATTCAAAGGGATAGGGAGAGCAACTACATCTTGCTAAAAGGTACCATAGACAATAATATAATATCAATACTAACCAAAGATGCACCAAATGGCAGAGTATCCAACTTCTGAAAGGGAATGTTAAAGGACATGCAGAAGGACAGAGACAGTAAAACTATACCAACGGGTGACCACAACTTTCACCTCTCAGAATCAAGCAAATCTATGCATAAAATAACAAAAAAAGATGTTAAAAAGAGGAAAAGAATATCAGAAAAGTCAGATAGCATAGAAATCTGGAGAAAAGTGAATGGAAATAAAAAAGAATATAACTTTTTTCTCAGCTGTACATGATAACTTCAGAAAAAATAAACATATATTAGGGCATAAAAACCTCATCACCAAATGCAGAAAAACAGAAATAGGAAATGCACCTTTTATAGACCACAATGCAATATCATTACAGAGATGCAGAAACAGAGATTAAAAATTAATTGGAAAATAAAATACCCAATCCTAAAGAATGAGTGGATCAAAGAACAAAACATAGCATCAACCAATAATTTCATTCAAGGGAATTACAACAATGAGGCAACATATCAAAATTTGTGGGATGCTCCCAAAGCAGTACTTAGGGGAAATTTCGATCTCTAAATTCTTACATCCATAAAACAGAGAAAGAGCAGATCAAGGAACTGGGCATAAAATGTATAAAAGGAGAAAAAGAACAAATGACAAAATCTCCAATTAAACATGAAATTGGAAATCAAAGGTGAGATTAAGAAAATTTTTAAAAGCAAAATTATAAAATAAAAGCAGGTGCTGCTTTTATGAAAATACTAATAAAATCAGATAAACCTTTGGGTAACTTGATTAACAAAAAAAAGAAGAAAACCAAATTACCAGTCTCAAAAACAAAAGTGTATGCATAACCAAGGAAGAGGAAATTAAAGCAATGCTTAGGAGGTATTTTCCCAATCCCATGCCAGCAAAACTGACAATCTACATGAAATGGATGAATACTTGCAAAAACATACACTGCCCATGTTAAAGGAAGAGGAAACAGAACACATAAATAACAATATCTGAAAAGGAAAAATATTGAACAGGGCATGAATGAGTTTCCTAGGAAAAAATTCCTAGGACTAGATCAACTGTGAAAGTGAATTCTACCAAACATTTAAAAACATTTCATCCCACTACTACATAAACTAACTGAAACAACAGGTAAAGAAGAAGTGCTATCAATTCCTTTTATGGCACAAACATGTTTTTGATACCTAAACAAGGGTGTAGGGACTTATACATGCTAATACCTGATTGGAGGAGCTGTGAAATGACACATCCATTTTGGAAAGTAATTTAAAATTACGCAAAGAAGGAAAAAAAATGCCCAAAGCCTACAAAACAAAGATTCCATTACAACCCAATGATGCCACTGATAACGAAAAGTCCATATATATTCCAAAATACTTATGACACCACTTTTTGTGGCATCTATGATTTGGAAACAGTAGATGCTCATCAACAAGACATGGAACAGGAAAGGCATGGAATACTGCTACGTACTTACTGTAAATAAGAAACGAAGTGTGTGAGAAGTACAGAGAAGTATGGAAAGGGCTTTGTGAACTGATGCAAAGTGAATTAAACAGAGCCAAGAAAACAGTGCATATACACAATAACGACAATTGAAATGGAAAGAATGACTCAGCAAAAGTTAAAAGTACCTGTAACAAGATGTTAAAGATCAAGTGGGAATGAAAAGGAAACGTGAGAAGACACCATCACCCTACCCCATTCAGGAAGTGAGAGGTCCTCAGGTGTTACACATTGCACACGTTTGCCCAAATGCATTGATCAGTTGTGCTCACTTTTCTTTTCCTTCCTAAAATAAGAAATATGATTCATCACATGGCATGGCTCTTGAGGATGAGGGGAGGGAGAGATACATGGGATACCCTGGTGATGGCAGAAACAGAAAACACCAATAAAACAGGAGTCAAGTAACTCAAGGGTGATAATGGAGTTGGGGAAGGAGGAAAGGAAGGGGTTTGGGTTAGTGATTATCAGTAGCAGATCCAAAGATGTTACAAATCTGTGATTACGCAAACAATTCTTGTTATTGTTTAGTCCTGTCTGACTTTTCCTGCCCACATTTGGGGTTTTCTTGGCAGAGATACTGGAGTAGTTTGCCATTTCCTTCTAAAGCTCATTTGACAGATGAGGAACTGAGGGAAACAGGGTAAAGTGACTTGCCCAGAGTCACATAGCTACTAAATGTCTGAGGCCAGATTTGAACTCAAGAAGATGATTCTGCCTGACTTCAGGCCCCATAGAATACCTAGCTGCCCAGAAAACAATTTCAACTCCACTGTATCCCACCCAATCTCATGATTCCCCCAAGCCCCAGACCTCCAGACTAAGGCATGGGCAGGCAGGAAGCCCTAGGCAGGAGCATCCCTGGAGGAGAAGGTACACACAGGTTCACTTCTGAACATAGCCATACATACACACATCCACACACACACAGACTCTCTGTCTCTTACATGCACACACACACACACACACACACACACAACATGTTCCTATCGACAGACACAACACAGGCATAAACAAGAGTAGTGATACACCCACACTTACATACATCTTCTGGGTACTACTGGAGATGGTAGAGCTTCATGAAAAGGCTAGGGGGAAGGGAAGAGAAGAGAAGAAGAAAGTGAGGGGCTGAAGCAGGAGCAGGGAGGGGGCACTTACTTCACTCACAACCACATAGGCACTAGCAGGACTCTCAGGATAGGGTAGTCTGGAAGATGGAGAGGGAAGATGGGGGTAATGGAGGGGAGTGGTGGGTGTGGAATAGAAGGGGAGGAGAAGTGGGTGAGGGGGGACATGGAGATCTCAAACTGCTAGCCCCTTTCACAGCCTCCTCCAGAGTCAAAGAAGACTTACACTTAATAGAGGGTCAGAGGGGGTGGCAATATGAAATCACTGCAAGGCGGGGCTAGTCTCCTAGAAGAGCAGGGGGAGGGGAGGAGGTCTCTAACATCAGGCCCAGAGCACTGGGGAGCTGCCCCCACCCTAGTCATTTCTCTCTGTCCCCATACCCAAACTGGCTACAGAATGGGGTTGCAGCTGCATCCTCGACCTGGAAGTGGTCCTGGGGCTGGCCAGGGTCCCAGGCTCCTGAGGGCAGGCTGCTGGGGCTGGGAGGGGTGGGGGGCAGCAGCTGAGCTCAGCTTGGAGTTGTTGAGGGTAGGCCCCTTTACAGAAACTGGGAGGGGGAAGACAAAGAGAGGAAGGAGGAGGTTGAGGGAGGGCTGTTCTGGGCTCCACAAAAGGGAGGAGCACAGTAGCTGCAGCAGCATCTGCAAACCAGTGGCCCTTAAATGGGACTTGGATTCCTCACAACCTCCAGAGCAGAGGAAGAAAGGGCTGGTGTGAGGAAGGGGCAGGGCTCAGCCTCCTTTCTCTAGGCAGGAGGAGACAAAGATCAGGACAGGCAGGGAGGGACAGGGGTCACCAAGGGAGGCAGCAGGTCTGCCCCTACTGTTCACATGTGGGTAGATGCTTATCACCTGGGGAACTGCTAAACAAAGTGTGAACATGCGTGAAACATCATGGAATACTACTACCAGGCTGCAAGAAATGATGTGTGCGATGAGTACAGAGAACTACAGAAAGATCTTTGTGAACTGATGCAAAGTGAATTAAGCAGAGTAAAAAAAAGAAAAAACAAAACAGTACATACACACAGTAACTACAACAACTGACATGGAAAGAATGAGACACAAAAAATTAACCGAAATGTTAAAGATCAAGTGGGAATGAAAAGGAAACATGAGAACACCATCACCCTACCTCAGCCAGGACTTCAGAGGTCCACAGGTGTTATACATTGCACACCTTTTCCACCTGCACCAATAAGTTGTGCTCACTTTTCTTTTCCTCCCTAAAAGAAACAAATACTCTTTATCACATGACATGGCTCTTGAGGATGGGGAGAGGGAGGGATACATGGGTTACCCTGGTGATGTAAGAAACAGAAAACAATGAAAAAGTTTAAAAAGAGGTCAAGTATCTCAGGGGTAATAATGGAGGTGGGGAAGGAGGAAAGAAAGGGCTTTGGGTTAGTGATTATCAGTAGCAGATCCAATCTATACTACAAATCAGGGATTCTGAAAACAATTGTTGTTCTTGTTTAGTCCCGTCTGACTCTTCCTGCCCACATTTGGCGTTTTCTTGGCAAAGATACTGGAGTGGTCTGCCATTTCCTTCTGAAGTTCATTTGACAGGTGAGGAACTGAGGCAAAGAGAGTGAAGTGACTTGCTGAAGATCACACAGCTGGTAAGTGTCAGAGGCCAGGTTTGAACTCAAGGAGTTGATTCTTCCTGACTTCAGGCCCATTGGGACACCCAGCTGCCTGGAAGACAATGGGAACTTGTTAAAATGTGGGAGGTTGATCAGTGTGAAGGATTACTTATGCAATGTACAGAAGCAAACAAATAAAATAACTTAGAGTTTAATAAATTCAAAGATAGCAATTGGGTGGGTGGGGGGAAGGGAGCACACACTCTTTGATTAAAAAAAAAAACAAACCAGATGGGATAAGGAAAAGCAGATTGCCAGAAATGCAACAGGACATTAACACCTCATAACACCTTTCAAATTAAACTACAAGTGGATCCATGAATTAGGTGGAGAGGGGAGTCTGCAGCAAATTAGAGGAACAAGGAGGAAATTACTTTTCACCTCTATGGATAGGAGAAGAGGTTATGACAGAAGAAGCAACAGAGAATCACAGAAAATAAAATAGAGAATTCTGCTTCTATAAAGTCGAAATGTTTTTGCACAAACAGATCAAATGCTGTCAAAATGGGAACAGTAATATTTAAATGAGGAAAAACATCTTTGCAGCAAAGTTCTATAAGGACTGTTGCATATGCAAGATTTAAAAGGAACTGATTCCAATTTCTAAGATTAAGAGCCATGCTCCAATAGGTCAAAGAACAGGAGGTTTTCAAAGGAAGAAATCCAAACTATGAACAGCTTTATGACAAAATGTTCCAAATCCCTCATAATGAGAGAAGTGAATGTTAAAAAGTATCACAGAAAGTCTCCTCTTTCTGTTCCACAACAAGGTACATGGAAATGCCCCTTTCACCAGGTGCCAGTTGAAACCAGAACAAAAAATAAATATACCATTAAATTAAACAACATCAGACAAAAGAGATGATACGGAAAAGGGGAAGGGAAGATTCCTAGACTGTCTCAGAGGTATCTGGCCACAGGGGGAGACCCAGCCATGGGCACCACAGGGCTGGCACCCCACTGGAGGGGAAGCCAGCAGAGAACAGTGACAACCTGCAGCTTGGGACCCACACATCCCAGGTTGTACCGTTTAGTCAGGAACTGATTTTCAACAGCCCTAGTTTTTAATTCAGGTAGTCCACATTAATTTGCAAAAAAAAAAAAATTCTAGAATAAAGACCTTGGTCAATTTCCCATGAGTAACCAAACTTCCTAGGACAATGAAGTCACCTCACTCCCCCTCCTCCCCCCCCACACAAGGGGAGACCACCTGGTTGTTTATTTCTAGATTATGGGCCCAAACCTGTAGGTATTTAACTAATTGGCAGAAATTGAGCCAAGACAACCCTGTCACCATTAACCATCTTGAAGTTCTTTTGATCTCGATAAAATAAATTACCTTAAGAAATGTTGTGATGAAGTTGGCAAGAAAATTAAATATCCCGAGTGGGATGCGTTTAATAAATGGCTACTCAAAACCACCAGACAGAAGTCTCTTGTAACTTGGACTTCTTTAAGGAAACTGTAAATGGAATTAAAAAGAATGGGGAAAGGGTGGAAGAGAAGATTTGTGCCCTCCAGAATGACAGTCAGAATTGTACTGCTCCATCAAAAGAGTAAATCAAGGCTTTCCCTGCATGTAGGACCAAGTCACTTCTCCCAGAAAAGATTTATCCAGCCATCCCTGGGAAAGATTCACCCTCCTCTCTCTGAGGATGAGGAAGGCAAGCGGGAGGCTCCTTCTTAGACTGTCTCCTCTCTCCCCGGTCCCCAGGCCAAGCCAAGGATGCCAGGAAGGAAGAAAGGTTGGGAAAGTCCACCTGAGGAGGGCAGGGAGGGAGTGTCCTCAAAGGCTTGCCCCTGATGCTTCCACCACACCCCATCCCTTGGTCCTCCAAGGCCCAGACCTCCAGACAAAGACCTGGGCAGGCAGGATGCCCCAGGCAGAAGCAGCTCTGGAGGAGCAGGCACACACAGGTACACACGTGTACACACAAGTACACATATGATCCTATTGTCCTACACATACAATAGACACATAAAAAAGGTATTAATACTCCCACGACCTACCCAAGCCCCCACACATGCCCCAGGCACTAAGACAAGGAAATTTGGGATGGGGGGGGAGGTTGAGGCAAAGACTAAAGAAGAAAGAGAAGAAAACATAAAGGGAGGGATGTAGAGGGACAGGAGGGGCAGGAAGAGGAGCAGTGGCAAAAAAGGGGGCTTACCTTATACACACCCACTTAGGAAAGTGTAGGAACTTCTGGGTTCCCTGGGTGAGGAAGGGGTGTTGTGGCAGAGGAGGAGGGGAGCAGGTTAGGGCTGGGCAGATCTCCAGCTCATGGCCCTCACTCCAGACTTAGAGGAAAAGGAAACTCACTCCTCCTCCTCCTCATCCTCCACTTTACCATCCTTCTCATCCTCTTTCTCCTCCTCCTCCTCCAGAGACAAAGAGGATTGACTTGGTCAAGGGTGGGAGGGGCGGGCACAGTGATGTCACAGTAGGGCAGGGCTAGTCTCCACCCAGAGCACAGGGAGGAGGGAGAAAAGAGGGGAGGGGGCTCTGTGATAGCAGGCACAGAGGAGTGGGGAGGCCCCTCCCAGTCGGTTCACTCAACTCCCATCACCCAGCCTGAGGAGGGGGCCATAGTGCTTGGAGGAGGGCCCAGGGCTGAGCCAGGTCCCAGTTTCCTGAGGGCAGTTGCTGGGATGGCATGTGGTGGGGCAGCTGAGCTCAGCTTGAGGTTGTGGGGGGGCAGATCAGTCCCTTTATGGAAAACAGAGGGGCAGGGCAGGTATGGTGGGAGGGCATCCTGGGCTCCACATAAGGGAAAACACAGTAGCTG